TGCACTACATCACAAGTGTGGAGGGCGGTGCTTTCAGAGTCAGTTCCCTCCCTCCACCATGGGATTGAACTCAGGTCATCAGGTCCCACTGCAAGAGCCCTTACCCGACAAGTCATCTTAACAGCCCAAGGGAGACTCTAAAATATTTTATTTTAGCAGGAGAGAGTAGACTGTAAGCTTTTAAAAATCTATGTGAAAGCTGTGTATCTAAAAAGAATTCTATGGCCGGGCGGTGGTGGCGCATGCCTTTAATTCCAGCACTCGGGAGGCAGAGCCAGGCGGATCTCTACGAGTTCGAGGCCAGCCTGGGCTACCAAATGAGCTCCAGGAAAGGCGCAAAGCTACATAGAGAAACCCTGTCTCGAAAAAAAAAAAAAAAAAAAAAGAATTCTATGATAGCCTGTCAATACAGGTCTTTAATACTAGCCTGTAACCCTAGTGCGGGGAAGACAGAGACTGGTGGATCATTACATGTTCAAGGTCAGCCTGGGTGGTCTACATAGCAAGTCCCTGATTCAATAACAATAATAATCTGACAAGAAAAGAATGGAGTACTGATACACGGAAGACACTGTGCTAACAGTCGATAAAGTCTTGTGTGATTTTACTTACATGAAATGCTTCAGGTAGATCAATTCACAGGAACAGAAAGCAGCCTAGAGCTGGGCAAGGGCTGCCCCCAGAGGGCCTGGGCAGAAAACAGTGAGTTAAAGACCCCACAGGGTCCCAAATCTGTCTTGTGCTCCCTTGGTCTGCACATTGGTGTCCTCTCAAGGAGCGGTCAGGAAGCCTTCCTCTGCACTCTCCAGTGTGGGGCCAACTTCAGTGTCAGACGTTTTCACTTACGCGGTGATAATAGCTTCCTCCATCCTCTGTATACCATGAGCTGAGTATGTTACAAGGCTACCTCAATTTTCTGGCAGCATGAGGCTTGTCTAGTGATTTCCCTCTTACAGATAGCCAGTCCCAGGTCGCAAAGCCACCCGAAACTTTCAACGCTGAAACCCAGGAAGGCAACTGGCACGGAGGTGGCGAGACTCCCTGGTCCAGACAGCAGTCCTTCCTCCAGCCAGGCCGTTTCCACCCATCGCTCACGTCAGTGGAAGGCCCGCAGTCTGGCTTTGGTATTGCCTGTCTGTAGACCAGCACCTGTGTCTGTTCCCTCTCCTCAGCTGGGAGGGTAGGCACCCTCTGTCTGCTTCCGTCCGCTGGTCGGCATTCTCCTTTTTCTCTCAAGAGACTTGTGAAAACACCTGGAATGTGTGGCCACTCTTTCTCACAGGGATGTTTGTCAGGTGCAGGGTGTTGTCTTGGTCGTGAGGGCCTGTTTGGTTCAGGATTGAGGGTGGTAGGTGGGAAACAGGAGCTTCGGGTCCCATTTAAGGCATACAACTCAGGGAGTTTAGGTGTATTCACAGACTGGCCAGTAGGCAAGTCTATGGGACATTTTAATGATTAATGATTGATGTGGGAAGGACCAGCCCATTGTGGGCAGTGCCAGCCCTGCCCAGGTAGGTGGTCCTGGGTTGTATAAGAAATCAAACTTGCCAGGTGGTGGTGGCACATGCCTTTAATTCCAGCATTTGGGAGGCAGAGGCAGGCGGATCTCTGTGAGTTCAAGGCTAGACTGATCTACAGAGTGAGTTCCAGGACAGGCTCCAAAACTACACAAAGAAACACTATCTTGAGAAAAAAGAAAAAAGAAAAAGAAAAGAAATCAAACTGAGTAAGCCTGGGAGAGCAAGCTAGTGAGCAGCACTCCTCTGCGGTTTCTGCTTCAATTCCTGCCGTGACTTTCAGTGATCATCTTAGTTTGGGTTTCTATTGCTGTGGAGAAACATATGACCAAAAATCAAGTTGGGGAGGAAAGGGTTTATTTGGCTTACACTTCAGCATTGCTGTTCATCACTGAAGAAAGTCAGGACAGGAACTTACACAGGGCAGGATCCCGGAGGCAGGAGCTGATGCAGAGGCCATGGAGGGTGCTGTCCACTGGCTTGCTTCCCTGGCTTGCTAAGCCCACAGGGATGGCACCACCCATCATGGGCTGGGCCCTTCCTCATTGATCGCTAATTAAGAAAATGCATTTCAGCTGGATCTTACGGAGGCATTTCCTCAGCTGAGGCTGCTTCCTCATTGGTGACTCTAGCTTGTGTCACGTTGACACACAAAACCAGCCAGTGCAGTGATGAATTATGATGTAGAAGTATAAGTCAAATAAACTGCCTATAACTCCACCTCCAGGGACGCCCTCTTCCGGCTTCACTGGGTATCTCATACTTGTGGAGCACATACATACATACATACATACATACATACATACATGAAGGTAAAACACTCATACACATAAAAATAAAAATTTAGGACCACTCTGACATGATTGACCACAGCCATTCAGAGCTCTCTACCATTGCATTCCCAGATTTTAGGAGTCATCAGCAACTCTTGCCAAGGCCAGCTCACCTGCTTCTCTCACTGTTGCCTGTCCTGTGTGTAAAAGCCCTTGGCCCACCCTGTTTGTGCCTCAGTATCTCCCCTGTGCAAGGGGCACTTCATCGCCTTCCTGAGGGGATTTTTGGCAAGATTAGTTGGAAAGATGTGTATACAAACACCTCGTCCATGATCGGGCACACATAATAAAAGTTAGTTGGTATTTCTGCGAATTGCACTTGTATCTGAACACTCCCTGGATGGATGAGAAAATGAGGTTGAAGTCACCGCCTCTGTCATTCATGGCCTGTGTGAGTTGCTTCATGTCTCTGACTCTTTCCCTATTGGTAAAAAAGAATCATAAAATACTTTTGTCACAGGTAATAACGAGGGTGAAGTGATGGATGTTGCGTGAGCCAAGACCAGTTTCATGGGGCTCCGGGAAGGACACGGCAGCAGTTCTCTGTGGAGACTTGGTGTTAGTCGGCAGCTACCATACCACATCTGAGATAACCAGCTCTCAGAGAACAGCTCTATTTGAACTCAGCTTTGAAGATTGCCCCCTGTTGTTTTGGGGCCTGTGGTAAGGCAGTCAGTCCATCAGGCAGGAGCATGCTATTGAACCAAACCGTTCACCTCACAGAGAACCAGGGAGCAAAGAGAGAAAGAGGACAGAGTCCTATGATCTTACTTAACAGGACCCCTCTGCAATGACCTGAGGTCCTCCCTGATAAGCCTTATCTCTTAAAACTTCCACTACCCCCTAAGGTTGCCAAGCTGGAGACCAAGCCTGTATGTAATACATGGGCCTTTGGAGATCACACTAGTTCAGTGTTGCCTGTGGGTGGGTGAGAATGGGTAGGCGCATGCATGGATAGATGGATGGATGGATAGATGGATGGATAGGTGGGTGGATGGATAGATGGATAGATGGATGGATGGGTGGATGGGTGGGTGGATGGGTGGGTAGATGGATGGATGGATGGATGGATGGATGGATGGATGGATGGATAGATGGATAGATGGATGGATGGGTGGGTGGCTGGATAGATGGATAGATGGATGGGTGGATGGGTAGGTAGATGGATAGATGGATGGATGGATGGATGGATGGATGGATGGATGGATGGATGGATGGATGGATGAACTGATGAATAGACAGACAGAGGACTTGCCTACTCATTCAGTGTTTGTTGAATGCCTACCCTGGCCCAGACACTGTTCAAGAGGTGCAACAGCAAACATATGAGGTCCTTGTCTCACTGGTACAATTAAAACAGGTCTGTGAGTTAGACACATAACTCAAAAATGCGTTTAGGAGTGACTGCAGCAAGGTGGACAACTAGAACAAGAATGTAGCTTGAAAGCCTGAAATGACCTTGGACCTGTCTAGAAGAAAAGCTAAAAACAGTCCCTTAGTCTTACCCTAGGACTAAGAAAAATCAAGAGTCCAAGGAGGGAAGAGAGTTGGGTTGAGGCAATGGGGAAGAGGTGTGGTTGGTGAGGGGAAAGATGGACTTAGAGGAAGTATTCCGACAAGGAATTCTCATCACAGACACCAGGACAGCATGTCCCACTGAGGCAGGTGACTCCCATCCCTCAGGCACTACCTGTCTCTCTCCTACAAGTTGTCTAGCCTCCTGGAACTGGGTGATGCCAGGCTGCACAAGGGTACACACACCTGGTCCAGGGAGGGCAAAGTACACAGTGGAGAAAATGCAGTCCTGTCTATCCCCGCTGACTTCGCCTTTGTAGATAGATACACCCCCCACCCCCACCCCACCCCACCCCACCCCCTGCCCTCCCTCCCGTCCTGCAGGGATGCTGAGTTCCCAGGATGCTGAGTTCCTGGGAAAACGGAAGGGTGGAGGGAGAGACCACAGCTCAACCAAAGGAAGGGGCTGTGTGAGCTCAGGAGAACAAAGCAACGGATGCCGTCACAATGGTTGCTGGCTTCTCTTTTCTCTCTTCCTCTATCAGGGCTGCTGTTTAGTCAGCAGATGTTCAAAGTCTGCGGCTCTCTGCACATAAAGCGCTAAGTGATGCGTGTGAGGGAGGAGATCCATGCACCCCCCATTTCCAAGAAGCTTGACTGTCTGAGCAATAAAAGATAGGCATAGGCCATAGGACCTTCCCTGGCCCCGGGTTCTGTGAACGGAAAGGTTTTTTTGTCCCTCCTGGCCTGGCGCCAGCTTGGCGGACCTCCTCCCTCTCTCCCTCCCTCCCTCCCTCCTCGGATGAATTCTCAACTCTTCTACCACCCTGACAGGGATGAAAGCATGGAGTGGGCCCGTCCTCAAGTACCTGGGCTGTGACCTTTCTCCCCCAAAGATGGGGACAACAAGATGGCCTCTAGCTCTACAGGGGACCCCAGAGAGACATAGGGGGGCTAGAAAATGAGAAAGACCCAGGTGCACAGCCATGACCCCCAGAAACAAAGACACGGAGACACATCCAATTCAAGAACTGCTTGTGTTTATTGGCGACCAGCTTAGGTCAACAGAGGAAGCATTAAAAATGGGTAAACCGTGTGACCGAGCCTGACTGAGCTCCTGCTGAGCTTTGCAGCCTCACTGCAAACTGAGGTTTGGGAGGCTCCCAGAAGAGCCAGGAGATCGGGCCCCGGGAGGAAGCGGATTCCGACCAGGAGGGCGGACTCGGGGTGGAAGCGGATTCCGACCAGGATGAGGTCGGACTCCCGGAGGAAGCGGATTCCGACCAGGAGGGCGGACTCCTGGAGGAAGCGGATTCCGACCAGGAGGGCGGACTCCTGGAGGAAGCGGATTCCGACCATTGGGCCTCCAGCTACCTGCTGGATTCCGACAGTTGGGCCCCCAGCTGCCTGCAGGATACCGACAACTGGCCCCCCAGCTGCCTGCAGGATAGGGACGATTACCCCCCCAGCTGCCTGCAGGATACGGACCATTACCCCCCCAGCTGCCTGCAGGATACGGACCATTACCCCCCCAGCTGCCTGCAGGATACGGACTATTGGTCCCCCAACTGGCTACTGGGTGCCGACCATTAACCCCCAAGCTGGTACCTGATAATTGACTATTGCTACCCCATATTCCAGAAGGGTAAGGCATGGGCCTTCTCCCCCACCCAGTTCCTGCCCCTCCACCTCCCCAAGATCCACTGGGACTTAGGATCCCCCAGGGTAAACCAGGCAATAACCTGCGGATGAAAAACCAGAATGGGTGCTGGGCAAAGGCTTCTGCCTCAGTTGTCAGTGAACTGGAGCCAGGCAGCTGTGTAGGCTCTGAGTCCTCGGGGCCGGAAGCCTCGTATGCAGAGGAAAAGTATGGCAGGACATCTGGCCGCACTTGCTCCGGGTAGTCCTCGGCAGCAGCCTCCATCCCTTGCTGAGGGTCCTCGGAGAGCCAGTAGTCCATGGGGGACCACCCCCAGATGGGAGGCTGGCTGGGCATCTCTGATTCTCCCTCAGGTAGAGTGCCATCTTCTGGGGATTCGGGAAGCCTGGGAAGAACCCTTGGTAATTCATTATTCACAGGGTCTGGCTTGGGCTGAGGCTGTCCGGAGTTGAAGAGGCTGGTGAAGGAAGGTTTTCCCGAATGTAGGGAGACTTTCTCCTCTGGTGCCTCAATGCTACGTGCAAAGAGGCCTGAAGGAAAAAAGAAGATAAGGCAGTCAGTGAATCACAGTTGGTACAGCCACCCCTTTGGCTCCCTGGCTCCCTTCACCGCAAGCGTCTTCCGCCACTTCTCACTTCCCTGGGGACCCAAGTGCACATCTCCTACATGTGCACGCTCCCGCCTTTACCCAAGGCCCCCAGTGCCCTCCATACCTGGCAGATACAGACAGATCAGGAGCAGGCCCAGGGGAGCCCGGCTCCCACCTGCGAGGCCCTGCATCTTGCTCAGCTCCAGCATCTCCCTGGGCTCCAAGACAGCAGGCTTTATCCCATCGGTGGGGTGGGGGACAGCAGAAACAGGCTGGGCCAGTGGTTGTGGAGACAATAGATCCTGCCCATTCCACCCTCATTCTTGATTCGGTCTGTGGCAACAGGTGTCACTTGAATGTCCCAGAGGAACTGGGTGTTCCCTCACCTGGCTCCTCTCCACGTACTCCCTGCCCCTTCCTCACCCAGGTGCCCTGGTCCACAGGTCACCCCTAGTTGCCAGCCCTGCCCTGGCTTGCCTTAGGATGCCGGTGCCTTCGCCGTCTCTCAGCGTCAGCCACGCTCAGCAGTCTGACTCCTTTGGGATCTAGAGCATTGACTCCAGCATCCTTGCTCATGGACCCCCACATCTCCCCCTGGATTCTGACAAGCTGGTTGTCCTGGGGTGCAAAAGTTCCCCCATCAGAGGTGCTGCTCCTAGGTGAAGCCCTTAGTCTGAAGAAACGGGCTTATTTTCCAGCCTTAGAATGTGATGTGTTATTTTTCCATTGCTCCTGTAACAAAGCCACACAAGCTAACCATTCCCAACACATGTAATATTGTGGATTTTTCTTTCATTTTGTCTTATTTTGTTTCATTTGCTTGTTGGTTTTCTATTTTGTCTGCTTTGTGGGAGGGTGGAGTTGGGGCAGGTTAAGATGAGACTGGCCTCAAACTTACAATCCTCCTGCCTCAGCCTCCCAAGTGTGGGATGACAGGCACGTGCTGCCAAAGCTCTCCTGTAATCAAGCCTGTAAAAGATTTTAAAAATGTTTATTTTATTTTATTTATTTTGTTGTTTTTGAGTGTTTTGCCTGCATGTATACTCACCACACACCTGCCTGGTGTCCTCCCAGGTCAGAAGGGGGCTTCGGATGCCCTGGGACTGAAGTTCCAGACATTTGTGAACCACCACGTGCGTGCTAGATCCTCTGGAAGAGCAGCCAACTCTCTAGCCCTTATTCTATTCTTTTTGAGTTTTGTTTGTTGTTGTTTTTCTTTTCCCTCCAAGACAGGGTTTCTCTGCGTAGCCCTGGAACTCACTTCGCAGACCTGGCTAACCTCGAACTCACAGAGATCCACATGCCTCTGCCTCCCGAGTGCTGGGATTAAAGGCCTGTGCCACCACCGCCCAGCTCCTTATTTTATTCTTAATTATGTATATGAGTGTGTGCCTGTGTATGGGATGTACATGTGAGTGTAATGCCCAGAGGGGCCAGAAGAGGGTGTCAGGGTCCTAGCGCTGGAATTACATTCAGTAGTGAGGAGGTTGATGTCAGTGCTGAGAACCAAAGTCTGTTCCTCTCAAGAGCAACCAATGCTCTTTCTTAACCACTGGACCATCTCTCCAGCCCTGTTATCATTTTTTAGAACAAAAGTCCAAAATGGGTCTTTCTGAGTTATAAGGGGATCTGAAGGACTGACTGCTGTTTATGGAGGTTCTAGAGAGGGTCTACTTCTGGGTTCTTCCAGTTTCCAGGGCCACCTGTGTTTCTCGTCTCTTGACTCTCTTCCCCCATCTTCCAAGTCTCTTCCCACACTGTATCATCTGGCTTCCTCTTCTGTCTCCCAAGCCCACATTTTAAACACCATGTCTATATTGGACCCACCCAGATAATCCTGGATAATCCCTTTATGGTAAGGTCAGATGACTAATGACTTGAACTGCATCAGAAACCCTGTTTCCCTTTTCCAAGTAACCTAACATATTAATAAATTCTAAGGATTATGATGGTGACATCTTTGGTGGCGTTGGGGTGGAGACACCATTCTGCCTAATGCAGGTGGTCAGACATATCCAAAGAATATAAGAAACAGGGGCCTGGGAAGATGGCCCAGCGGTTAAAGGTAATTGTTCCCAGCACACATATGGCAGCTAACAACCTCCCTTAACTCCAGTTCCATGAGATCCGATGTCCTCTTCTGGTGTCCGTGGACACCAGGCATGCACATGGTGTATATGCATACATATAGGGAAAACACTCATACACATAAATTATAAATCTAAAAAGTGAGGGGAGGGGATATAAAAACACTCAGAGTCAGTGGTGTATCCAAGCACTCACAGAGAAGGACAGCTCAATGCTATGGTCAAATGGCCATGACTTCAACCTTGCACTGGGGTGATGGGACCTCAATAGTGATTTGTCTAGTTTTAAATGTAGATGAGATGCTGTGGTTTGCATATGCTTTGAGAGTGTCCCTCACCAGTCTCCAGTGTGGGGACATTGAGAGATGTGGGATCTTTAAGAGTCGGGATCTAGTGGGAGGTAGGTAAATCACTGGGGAGATTAACGGGACTTGCTGGAGTCAATTAGCATCAGTGGGAAAGGGTTGCTGTTGAAAGAGGGAGCCTTGCCGTCTGACGGCCTGAGGCCTATAGTCTTAACTTCTTGGAGGCTGAAGTAGGAGAGTCACAAATTCAAGCCCGACCTGGCCTATAGAGTGAGGTCAAGAGCAGCTCGGGCAGCTTAGTGAGACCCTGTCTCAAAAGAAAATAGTTAAAAGGGGACGAAAGGGGGCTGGAGCAATGGCCCATGCTCAGGAGATCTTACCGCTCCTGCGGAAGACAAGAGTTTGGATCCCAGCACCCACATGGAGAGGCTCACACCCACCTGTAACTCCAGCTCTCAGGGGATCTGATCCCCTCTTCCAGCCTCATCAGGTACCTGCACTCATAATGCACACACCCACACAGGCATACACCTGTACCTATAGCTAAAAAGATAAATCATTTTTTTTTTAATTTATTTATTATGTATACAGTGTTCTACTTGCATATATCCCTTCAGGCCAGAAGAGGGCACCAAATCTCATTACAGATGGTTGTTGGGAATTGAACTCAGGACCTCTGGAAGAACAACCGGTGCTCTTAACCTCTGAGCCATCTCTCCAGCCCCTAAAAAGATAAATCTTGATACTAATACTTTTTAAAGTTTTGGGAGGTTGAGGTTTGTGTCTGTGTTTGTTTTTAAATAGTTCAGCAGAGTCCTTCCCTGGCATACAGAATTCAGTCCCCAGCACTGCAAAAAATGAAAAACATCCAGGCATGGTAGCTCACACCATTAATCCCAGCACTCGGGAGGCAGAAGCAGGTGGATCTCTGTGAATTTAAGGCCAGCCTGGTCTACAGAGCAAGTTTCAGGACAGCCAGGGCTACACAGAGAGACCCTGTCTCAAACAAAAACAAAAACAAACAAACATAAAAACAACCAGTCGCCAGGCAGTGGTGGCACATGTCTGTAATCCCAGCACTCGGGAGGCAGAGGCAGGTGGATCTCTGTGAGTTTGAGGCCAGCCTGGTTTACAGAGCTAATCCAGGACAGGCTCCAAAGCTACAGAGAAATCCTGTCTCAAAAAACAAAACAAAACAAAAAACAAACAAACAAAAAACCCATAAAATAATGACAACGATAATAATGATGATAAACCAACAGTAAGCCCAACCCCTCTGACTTCCTACCCTGCCTTGAGACGTCTCCTCTCATTCAATCTCCCCATCAAGCTCAGAACTGGGCAGGTGCTGGAGTCATGCTCTTGAACTTTGAAAACCGAGCTAAAAGAGAAGACGAAGAAAAGAAACAGAGACCTGTGAGCTAAACAGACCATTTCCAGGTCTCGGGTGTTTTATTATAGCAACAGAAAGTAAACTAATACAAATACATTTGAGGGGTGGGAGTATGGCTCTGTTGCTAGAGTGCCTGCCTGGTACGCATGATGCCCTGCATCCCATTCCTGCACCACATAAAACTGTACATGGTAGTGCACACCTGTAATCTCAACACTCAGGAGGTAGAGGCAGGAGATCAGGAGTTCAAGGTCAACCTTGGTGTCCTAGTTAGGGTTTCTATTGCTGTGATGAAACACCATGACCAAAGCAATTTGGGGAGGAAAGGGTTTATTTGGCTCACACTTCCAATTCACTGTTCATCATTGAAGGAAGTCAGGACAGGAACTCACACAGGGCAGGAACCTGGAGGCAGGAGCTGATGCAGAGGCCATGGAGGCTGCTGCTTACTGGCTTGCTCCTCATGGCTTGCTCAGCCTGCTTTCTTACAGAACCCAGGACCACCAGCCCAGGAATGGCCCCACCCACCATGGGCTGGGCCCTCCCCCATTGATCACCAATTGAGAAAATTCCCTACAGGCCCGTTTTATGTTTTATGAAGGCACTTTTCCAATTAAAGTTCCCTCCTTTCGATGACTCTAACTTGTGTCAAATTGACATAAAACTAACCAGGACACTTGGTTTCATAGGGGGTTCAAGGCCAGGCTGAGCTACGTCTTGTCTCTCTCAAAAAATAAAAATAATATAGACATGTATTAGAAGATTTTATAATTAAAAAGGGTTCCATTGTTTTTACTACTAGAAATTGAACCCAGGTCCACTCATATGCCCAGCGAGCACTCCACCACCAAGCTGGCCCCACCCCCTTTTCACTTTGTGAAAATAAGGTCTGACTAAGCCTAGGCTGACCTCAAACTTGCCTTTTTCCTGCTTCAGGCTTCCAAATAGCTGGGATAACAGGCTATACCACCAGGCACAGTAAATTAAAAAAGTATTTAACTGCCTTATTTATTTATTTACTTATTTTGGCTTTTCTAGACAGGGTTTCTCTGTAGGTCTGACTGTCCTCGAACTTGCTCTGTAGACCAGGCTGGCTTTGAACTCAGAGAAATCCTCCTGCCTCTGCCTTCCAAGTGCCAGGATTAAAGGTGTGTGCCACCACCGCCCGGCCGCCTTTTTAATTTTTAGAATTTATTATTATTGTGTGTATGGGCCACAGCACACATGTGGAAGTCCAAAGACAATTTGTGGAGTTGGTTCTCTCCTTATTTATTTATTTTTTGTTTGTTTGTTTTGTTTTTTTGAGACAGAGTTTCTCTGTGTAGCTTTGCACCTTTCCTGGATCTCTCTCTGTAGACCAGGCTGGCCTCGAACTCTCAAAGATCCACCTGGCTCTGCCTCCCAAGTGCTGGGATTAAAGGCGTGCGCCACCACCGCCTGTTTTTTTCTTTTCTTTTTTTAAGATTTATTTATTTATTATGTACACAGTGTTCTGTCTGCACATATCCCCACACACCAGAAGAGGGCACCAGATCTCACTACAGATGGTTGTGAGCCACCATATGGTTGCTGGGAATTGAACTCAGGACCTTTGGAAGAGCAAGGAGTGCTCTTACGCTCTGAGCCATCTCTCCAGCCCCTCTCTCCTTGTTTTCACATAGGTTCCGGGCATCAGACTCAGGTCAGCAGCCTCACAGGGCAAGCATCCTTACCTACCCATCCACCTGACCCCTTAACTGCCTTTGTTCTCTCAGCCTAGAAAACTCAGGCAGGTGTCCCTGTCTGCCTGAGGAGACACTTTGACTGCTGACTGATCTCTCTAGCCCCACCCCTACCCACCCCACCAGCCGTGAAGAGTAACAAGTTCTTTCCTGAACTGGCCAGTAGGAAACCTTAGAGTTTGGCCCCCTGCTTTGGGGTGACTTTGGGTTTTGTGTGTGTGTGTGTGTGTGTGTGTGTGTGTGTGTGTGTGTGTGTATTATTTTGAGACAGGGTCTCACTTTGTAGCTCTGACTGTCCTGGAACTCACTCTGTAGACCAGGCTGGCCTTGAACTCAGAGAAATTCCCCTGCCTCTGCCTCCCAAGTGCTGGGGTTAAAGGCATGTGCCACCATGCCTGTTTTTAACATGCATCACACCAGAGACTAAAGGAGTCCCAGCACTGTGGATGCTGGGATTTGAACCCTGGTCCTCTGGAAGAGCAGCAGCCAGTGCCCTTAACCACTGAGCCGTGTCTCCAGCCCCTGGACCAATGACTCTTATGTAATCACAGAAACAGGACTGCCTGGGAGCCGGCTTTGTCCTAGTGGCCCCTGAAGGCCGGCTTGGCTCCCCAGGACGTCTGTGGCCAGTTCAGTGGGAAGCCTCTGGTTCAGACTTGAAGCCTTTCACTGTGGCCTCAGCACCTGCTCTCTCCTTCCTAAAGGGGGTGGGGATTCCAGGTGGCAGTAAGTTCCTTTTCAAAACCTTGGAGAGCCTTGAGCATGCAATGAGGCCTTCCTACAGGGACACCCACACCCCTCTGTCCTTGTTGGGCTAGAGAGGAGGTGTAGAGGACACTGTCGTCTCTGTCTATCACAGAACCTTGTTAAGTAGGCCAGTGAGTCACCAGGCTTGGTGCACTGCATCACACTGGGATGTTGTCTTTCTCTCTCCCCGCCCCCAGTTCTCAGGACACTCCTGCTCAGTCCCCAGGAATCTTGCCTGGGCTGGTCCAGCGTCCCAGAAACTCAAGATCGACTCTAGGGACTGCCAGAGAGCACGGGGTTTAGAAGGTGAGGCACACTAATGGAGGAGAAGCCTACGTGGGAGAGAAGAAAATAATGAGGGTCTTCTGGAGGGGAAGGGGAGGGGAGGACTCCAGTGTGAGTGGGAAGCAGAGAGGGAACAGATTTCTTGGAGCTGAGAGGTGAGGCGTGCAGAGGAAGAATCCGGACACGGCCAGCTCTGCAGTCAGTTCAATCGATGTTTATTGTTTTCCTTCTCCGTGGGAGGAGGCGTAAGACAAAAAAAAACACTGAGCCAAATTACGAATTGACACGGGGGAGAGGGGCCCTCTAGAGGCCCAGGAGGTGTACTACCCAGGTACGAAAGAAGAGACACAGGACTCCAAGAAGGCAAAAAGTCTGCACAAAGTTCACAAAGTTTATTGAGCCCTGTCCAGGATCCCGAGAGAGCCAGGAGTCTGTGCCAGGCTCTGCGGATGCCCCGGGGTGCGTCCACACGCACAGCACAACATCTGTGCTTCGGATGGAGTGGTCACCAGGCAAGGGCTGAGGTGGAGAGGGGGAACGGTGTGTGTGTGTGTGTGTGTGTGTGTGTGTGTGTGTGTGTGACTTAAGGCTTGTCAAGTGGCTCTCCCTGAGGCAGAAAAACTTCAGGATCTGCTAACTGGGGCCCCAGAGGCTTCACTTGGGCCAGAATGTCCCGGATGGAACGGCAGGGCACCCTTCCAGGGCTGTTGAGGCCACAGGGCTTGGCCACCACGGAGGGGACCAGCTGAGGAGAGCCATTCAGCGTGGAGGAGGAAACAGAAAGGCAGGGGTAGCCGGGAGAGCTAGACTTGCTGCCGCAGGGCTGGAGGACGATTTTGCCGGTGGAGAGGGAGGAGCTTCCCCCGCCGATGGAGCCGGTGCCTGGTGGGGAGCAGGGCCCCTGGGAAGCACCGCCACAGGGTTGGAAGGAGGTGCTGGAGCTGCTGGAGGTGATCTGGATTCTTGTTCCCGAGCAAGGCCCCTTAGAACCCGTGCCACAGGGCTGGACCCCGCCGGTGCCCACGGGCTGGAACACGACGCCCGAGGATGGGTAGGCGTTGGCACTGGAAGAGCTGTAGCTGGGGATGATGGGGTTGCTGGAGAAGTACTTCCCCTCAGAGACTGGGGGCCCAGCTGCAAAGGAGGGGGCCCCTGGCGAGCCCCTGACGGGGTTGTCCTTGGTGAAGTAGCCCACAGGGTAGATTTTACCGCCACTGTAGGTCATGCCTGGGGCCAGGTAGCTGTTGGCAGAGCCCCCCACCACCTCGTAGCCGCCGTAGGGTTTCTGGACAGAGGTGATGGGAGGACAGGGCTTGCCTGCTGGGCCACCGTTGCTGCAGGGCATGCCTTGGAACCCTCCGGGGCCACCCGAGCCGTGTTGTTCCACCACCACCACTACAGGCCTCTGCCCGCCGGACACGGTGTGGGAGCTGGAGATGTAGGGCCCCGAGTGCGTGATGACAGGCCCCCCACTGCAGGGAGAGTCGGGCACGTTGGAGCTACAGGGCCTCTGGTTGGAGATGCCGCTAGACACCACAGAGCTGTGGGAAGTGTAAGAGCCTCCAGACTGGAAGGTGCCTGATGACTGCCTGGAAGAGTTGTCATCGGTCGGTAGAGCAGAGCCGTTCCCTGGTCCCTCCCGGCTGCTTCCTGAGCTTCCGGATTGAGAGCTGCTGCTGTGGGAACTGCTGCTTACCCATCGGGAACTGCTGCTTCCTGTCTGAGAGCCGCTGCTTCCAGAATGGTAGTTGCTGCTTCCGGACTGTGATCCGCTGCTTCCGGACTGCGATCCGCTGCTTCCTGACTGCGATCCGCTGCTTCCTGACTGGGAGGAGCCAGACCCAGAGGAAAAGCTGATCTGGGACGACCCTGTTCCTGGTTTGAATATCACAGATCCTAAAGAACTTCCCTGGGAGCTGCTGGATCCACCTTGGCCGCCGATGCTCTTGGAGGCAGCCTTTCCAATGAGACAAGGGTCGTTGGGGGAGGTGATCCTCCTGGGGTCCTTACAGGGGTCTGAGAGGGTCCCAATGCTCTTGGCCAAGGTTCCTGGAGGAGAGTAGTGGTCTGTAAGGACTAGATTGGAACAGGGGCTCCCCCTCCCGATGCATGGACCCCATCCCAGTCGTCTGCCCCGTGTTTCCCAAGAGGAACCCAGGCAAGTTCACAGTTAGAAAAACGAAGAACTGGATACTGTCTGTGGAGAAAATGAAGGTGGCCGAATCAGGGCAGTTTCATTGTTCTAGCAGAGGGGGCTGAAGGGGGCAGGTCAAAGGTCTGTCTTCAAGAAAACCATGCTAAAACTCTGAAGTGGTAGGCATTGAAGGAGTCCCCTTCAGATAGTGGGGAAGGGAACAGATAGGTCAGAAACAAGACCGTGAGGAGGCTGGCGCTCTGGGGCAGGGCAGTCATAGGTCAGACCATAGAACCAAACAGCAGAACGTAAAAGGCAAAGCAGGGATTGGGGGCAGAGGATTGACTTAGCACACACAAGGCCGTAGACTTGATCACCCATTACCACCAAAAAGGGGAGGGTATGCCGAGACAGGAAGGAAAGAGAAAGCTGGTGCCCAGGTGCCAGAACCACACTTCATAGCTGATACTCTGTCACCAGCTCCCAAGTGAGAGTCCAGACTGGGCAAGGGGTGGGTCAGAGGAGTCCCTGCTTCCTGTCCCAGCTCTGGCCATGCCAGTAAACCTGGGTGGGAGCCAGGATGTGGGGGCACTCACCTGTTGCTTCAGAACCTGCCAGTACCAGTGTGACAGGACACCGCACCCCGAGCCACCCCTGCGCTCACTGTCCCAGCCCAGGGACAGAGCAGAAACCCTCCTCCCCATGACCAATGCCAGCCTCCCTCTCTCCCCACCCAGCCTTCACGTGTACTGCTGCCCCCATTCTGCCCCACGCCGTCTTTGGACCTGGACCCACGTCCAACCTCCACCGACTCTCCGCTCCTAACCCCGGGCTCCTCTTGCCTGTCCTCTTGCCTGTCCTCTTGTCTGTCCTCTTGTCTGTCTGCATGGCTCTCACCTCAGTGCCTCCTGCCCACCCCAGCCCCTTCAGAGCCACACATCAGCAAGTGACTGACCTTCTCTGGCTTATATATTCAGTCTGCCGTGCCCTCCCCACAGAGCTACCGTGAAGGCCTTATAATATCATCTCTCTGGACCATGTGTCCAGAAACAGCAAGCTAGGCGTCAAAGTTCATCATCAACACTCATGCTAGAGCGATCCGCCAGCAGCCAGTCTGCCAGTCACCTGCAATGTCCCCAACCTCATCTCAAAAAGAAGAACCCCCGGTGTACCCCACAACAAACCCTCCTCGCTGCTGTCCCTTCACCCCTCTGCGCTGGGCACACGGCCCCCAGCCTGGGCTTAGAACCCTGGATGCCCCCCAGCCTGGGCTTAGAACCCTGGATGCCCCCCAGCCTGGGCTTAGAACCCTGGATGCCCCCCAGCCTGGGCTTAGAACCCTGGATGCCACCCAGCATGGGCTTAGAACCCTGGATGCCACCCAGCCTGGGCTTAGAACCCTGGATGCCACCCAGCCTGGGCTTAGAACCCTGGATGCCCCGCTTCTAACAGCAATCTGAATGAAGCCAGTTTCCTGACCTCTGGATCCTCAGCTGCAGAGTGGGAATAGCAAATCTATCACACAGGCCTCAAAACGCTAATGTATTTAAAGTGCTAGCTACAGGCTAGCCTTTAAAAAGGCTCTATGCTGAGCGTTGTGGTGGCGTGTGCCTGCAAATTGTATGCCTGCAGTCCTAGTTCTCAGGAGGCTGAGTTTGAGGCTAGGCTGGGCTACAAAGCAAGACTTTGTCTCAAATAAATAAATAAATAAATAAATAAATAAATAAATAAATAAATAATAAATAAAAGCAAAGAGGGCTGAGAGTGTAGTAGATCACTTAGCAAGCATGCAACCATGAAGCCTGGGACTTAACTCCCAGTACCTCAGTCAAAATTAAATAAAAAGTACATACATACATAAATAAATAAATGCAAGTTAATTAATACGTCTCAAGTGTGTGTAAAAGGTAGCTCTGAAAATGGTAGCAATTGTTATTCCTATGAAGTAGCCAGATCATATCTTCCAGTGGGGCTACCACCGTTCATATAGCCATCTAGAACTTCTGAAGCTGTGTCACGGGCATTGTTTAATCTGAGACAGACGGAGACTGGGCTAGATGACATTAACCTCGTTTCTAGGTTTCAGAAACAAGCTCAGAACATGTACATAGGACTCTAAGGATGGCTCAGAGGTAGAGTGCGTGCCTGCTCGGCCACTGTGGAGCAAAGGAAAAAGAATTTGTGTGCAGTGACCACACAGAGGCAGCCAGGCAAAGATGAGGGGCAGTCCCGGAAAGAAAGGTCAGGCTCCAGAGCCCTGCCTGTGCCCCTCTCCTGGACCCTGGGCTGCAGGCGCTGGGTGCCCCCAGCCTCCCTGACCTAGGGCCTGAGTCCCACGCTGTCCCTCTCCCGAGGCCCCAGACTCCTACCTGGTAGAATGAGACTGGCCAGCAGCAATGCCATCAGCCCGTGCCCTCCCACACGCCCCATCCCGGGTGCCCGAGAGGAGCTCATTGTGCACGGCGTGGCCTCCTGACTGACAGAAGCTCATGGACACTGGGACCTTTATGCCGGGGCTGGACATTCTCCGGGCAGGAGTCACTGTGGGGAGGAGAGAGGAGGGGTGGAGGGGGAGGCTGCCTCAGGGAGGTTGGTGTGGCAGGAGAGGCTGAAGCAATCCGCTGTCACATGTGCCTACTCAGCAGTGACGGCGGCGGCCGCAGGAGACCTGAGGCCACTGGGCACTAGCCCCTACCCAGGCTGGCCTTCCCTAGTTCCTCCTTGCCTAATCCGGAACCAGGCACTCTGCCCTGGGGGGGGGGCCACCCCCACCCCCAGGGTGGCCCCTCTCACCCAGGGACTCAGTCACCCAGCTCTTCCCTCCCTGGCCTGCCCAAGTCTCATCCTCCCAGCCCCCCTCCACTAGAAGAAGAGTGGGCATTTCAGCTCTCCCTCCTGACCCCAAGAAGCACCGCGCCCCTGCTCACCCCCAACTCACCCCACCACGCAGCTTGCTGGGGCTCACATTGTAGCCCCTATCTGCCTGTTTCCTTGCGATTCTGGCACTCAGCATTCTCCTCCTGCTTCAGATCTGAAGATCCGCCCCCACTGTGGATTCCCTTAGAGCCACTGTCCCGAGCACCAGCCTGCCACGGGCCTGTTAAAGTGTCCCGTTCCAAGAAGCCTTTTTCCCCCTCTCAGAAACGACATCCATACACTGAAAACCTGAGGGTTCCTTTCTGGGGGTTCTTGGGGCAGCTGGTGGGGGGCAGGCGGGGCAGTGGTTACCACAGCTTGGACGAGGGAGAGGCCTGGGTTGGGACCCCTGTCATAGCTGGGCCTCAGTGACTCACAGGCCGTTCACAGTCCCTATCCCACGGTAGTGACCCAGACTCGGGAGGATGAGCAAGAGGCCAATGAGGCTAATTGGGAAGGTGGTGGCCAGGCTGCCCATTAGCCGGCTCCTGGGCCCGGATGGACAAACAGAAAGTATCAGAGGTTTGTGCCTGAGTAGGGATAAGAAGGGCCAAACCAGCTCCTGAGTCCCTGAAGGACAGAGGGTCAGAACCCTGGGACCCAGCGGGAGGGAGGTGGTTTCTCCTACACTAAAGTCCCTCCCTCCTGCTGCAGCCCAGGCCCCACCCCAGCCGATTGCTCACTGGGATTGTGGGAGTATCAGTATCGGAGGAAGGGCCTCAGTGTGTGCCCTCACTGGGTCCCTCCTCCCCTCACCCAAATTCCTTCCAGATGTCCTTTCTTCACAAGGGCATCTCTGTCCCTCCAGCCCTTGGGTTGGTCCCTCCCTTTCTCCCTGCCCTGCCCTGAGTTCTGGCCCGTGGCCTGTCTTCTCCCAGCTCTCTCCATGGCACACAGGCCGCAAGAGCTTAAAATGGGGCTGGCATAACCCACTGAGTCTTTTGTTTTATTTAAGTTTAATTAAGTCTAGACAACCATGTGCAGCTGCAGGCCGCCGTCTGGTCCTTCACTTCCTGCCGGTGCCTAGAGGAGGCGCTGGGAAGAAACAAAGGTCCAGGCAGCCTTGCAGGGAGCAGTGACAGGAACACAAGCCTGAGACGGGCAGTGGACGGTGACGACAAAACCACGGTGGCTTTAGAACTGAGATGATGAGGCTTTAAATCCCGCCTAATTGCGGGGCTTCGAGCAATTTACCAACTCTCTCTAAGCTTAGATTTCTTTCTTCACTCGTAGAGAGGGAGAAGGGTGGGTAGGGGGGCACTGAAGGTGAAACCCAGGGCCCTGCACACGCTGGGCTGTGGGTCAGGTGTGATCTAGCACGAGTTCCGTCTCTTTCTACTGGGACTATTTCTGTCAATATCTGCTTTGTTTTATGTGTATGTGTGTTCTGCCCACGCGTGTGCAAGTGCAACCCATGCATGTAGTTCCTGAAGAGGCCAGAGAGGGCATTGGGTCCCCTGGAACCCGAGTTAACAGATGTTTGTCAGCCTCCATGGAAGGTGCTGGGAATCAAACCCAGGTCCTCTGGAAGACAGTTAGCTGTCTTAACTACTGAGACCTCTCCAGCTCCCTGGGATTATTTTTAGATATTACCTGCTTTCAAAGGTTTGTAAAGATCAAACAGGAAATTATCAGAAAGAGTAAATTAAATGGGACCAGGGTGTGGTCCCCTGCAGGGTGGCTCTCACCTAAGAATTCCCTTTGGAAAGGCAAGCCAGACATTCATCCCAAGTCCTCACCCCCGAGACAGGAATACTGGAACCTGTGGAGACTCCCCAGCCCCTCCCTAGACTCTCGGGCCCCAGCTGGGACCTGGGGAAGGAGCGGGGCTGAGGCAGCAGGAACAAGGCAGGGAAAGGAGACTTTGTGGTCTGAGAATGTGGGCATCCCCAAATGGGTGGGGAGAAAACAGAGCGCTTTCCAGTATCAGAGTAGGCATCCTCCGTCCGTCCGTCTGTCTGTCTTGTTTTCTTCTTCACATTCCTCCCTGCTGCTGTCAGACCTTGGCCAAGACAGCCAGGCTGGAGGAGGCACAGTCTCTCTCGGCCTCCTGCCAGCTTCCAGACACCCACACAGTCACGTTCCTCACCTGGCCTCTCTCCTCCTGCCTTCTCTGTCCACCCTCTTCCCATCCCCCACTGCCCTGCCCACATCTGGGACCTAGAAGCTCCAATCAGCTCTCTGTGCTCTCACTGTCTGTCCCCTTACCCAGTTCCCCTCCCGCCCATGTCCATTACCCACGGGCCTGAAATTAATGCATGAAAGGGGCTGGGGGAATGACTCAGTGCTTAAAAGCACTGGCTGCTCTTCTAGAGGACCTCGGTTCGATTCCCAGCACCCACATGGAGGCTCACAACTGTCTATAACTCCAGTTCCAGGGCATCCGCTCACTTGTGGCTTCTTTGGGGCACCCACATGGTGCAGTGATATACACATATAGGCAAAATACCAACACACATTAAATAAATATTGTTTAAATAGTAATAATGCATCTGGAAATTCCAGAAATAAGCAATTTGTTACTTGTAAATAACTTTCAATGTGTTATATTGTTATAACTGTCCTGCTTTACTGTTTATCTCTTACTGGGTCTAATTCATGACTTAAACATCTGAGTCTATGTATACAAGATGCATCACAACCCAGGCAGGATTTGGTGCTACCTCAGGCTTCCTTCGGCTCTTAGGTTGTACCGCTGCTGTGTCTCTCAGGGTCACCGATAACCTTTCCTGTCAACTCAGACAGTGAAACCCTAAAGCCACTGGGGCTCAGGAGTGGAGGAGACAAGGGAAGCTGGTGAGTTGGCTAGGCTGAGTGTCTGCCCAGCCCAGGGTTACCTCTGGAGGCTGCTCACGTGGCTGTGGGAGATCTGGACTTTATGTTGGAGAGTGAGTGCCCAGTGCAATACATTGATAGGGTGAGAACTGTGGGTGATAGGCAGCAACCCCCACCCCCAAAGGAAATCCAAGTTCAAAGGATGAGCCTTTGACAGGTAGAAAGTCCAGGTCACAAGAATAGGAGAACTCCGAGGCCAGCCTGGTCTACAGAGGGAGTTCCAAGATGCCCAAGAGTACCTGTTTCAAAAAACAAAAAAGAGCCAGGCAATGGTGGTGCATGCCTTTAATCCCAGCACTCAGGAGGCAGAGCCAGGTGGATCTTTGTGAGTTCAAGGCCAGCCTGGGCTACAGAGTGAGTTCCAGGAAAGGTGCAAAGCTACACAGAGAAACCCTGTCTTGAAAAACCAAAAAAAAAAAAAAAAAAGAATGGGAGAACTCTATTCATCCCAGCAGCCCGGACATTACAGCCTTAGGGAGATGTGGATGGGAGGAACAGCCAAGAGGAGGCCGGGGTGAGACAGCCCCTGCACTGACCCTGCACTGCCACGCGAGCCGAAATTCTAGAATAGCAACTCCATGAGGTGGGTGGTCTTGGTCAGCCTGGGACTTAGGCTGTGGAGAAGGAAATGGAGCGGATGAAGAGAAAAGGCTGAGGGCCTTATCTGTGTAAGGTTTTTCTGAGGCTGCCCAGATAGGAGGCCCCTCCTTTCTCCCCGAGTTCCAGTCAGCCTTCCCTCTTCTGTCCCCTCTTTCTCCATCACCCATCTGCCCAGGTGGACTCATCTCTAGTCACACACCTTCCTCTCCCTCCAGTAGAAGGTGACACTCCTGGCCCGCTCCCACTGGGCATGTCCTCTGAGCGGTTTTTCCTGTAGTGCAGATGGGTGACCCTGAGTCACCCACAGCCTTGACCTGGTGGCTCTCACACAGGACTAAACACAGAGAGACAGGGTTTATCTGCATGCAGAGTCCCTACCAGACTGGGCCCTCCGTGAGAGGAAAATGACTCTCAGGTCCTCATCTCTTCTCAGCCTCCCTCCTGGGAGCACTGTGCCCTGTGCCTGACAGCCAGCTTCCTTCACACTCTCCTCACACAGACCCTGCAACATGTTGTCTAGGCTTCTAAACAGGAAGCATTTTTCCCTTGGACCTCAGACTCGGTGACAGTGAGTGACATATGTGTGTTCCTGAGTTCCCAGCATTCAGCCTTGGGAGGCACACGGTGATGTGAGGTGTGTGTGTGTGTGTGTGATGTACATGTTCATGTAGGTGTGTTCATACACATGCACATGGAAGCCAGAGGTCTACGTTGAGTCAATCGCCAACCACCTTTAAAAAAAAAAAATGTATTTATTTATTTGAGCCTAGGTCTCTCAGTTGCCTGAAGCTCACTAATTGGCCAGACTGGCTGGACCCACCTGTCTACACTTCCTCAGCCCTTGGATTATAGGCTTTTGTGTAGATGCTGCGGATTCAGACACAGGTCCTAGTGTTTGCCCAGCAAGCATTTTGTTGACTGGGCATCTCCCCACCCGGTCGTTGGTGATGTGTTTTTGGAGTGTGGGTTGTGTCCAAGCCACACTGCCTCTTGCTGCTTCCTCAAGAGTACACGGTGCCTCTGTCACACCTCCCTTCCCTTCCTGCCACACGCAAAGTCCCCGGAGGTGCTGGGGAGGACCGCCAGGGACCCAGGCTGAGCCACCGATTCCCTGCTGGCTCTCCGTCTGTACCACCCTCATTCCTCCCAGATGACTGACTTCCGTAAGCCACTCTT